TGCAAAATGATGAATTTTCTAAAACCTTCCAAGCTAGCACAATTCACCATGGCAGTGATAGGAACATCAGACTATTCAAGATAAGGCATTGCTATTCTCACATCTCCAAATCCTTTCCAATGAACATTCAAGGAAGTGCGGAATATCTGAATCCTAAAGAAGAGAGGCACAAAGCCTGTTATTCATGCCAGGGAAAAGCTGGGAGTGTGTGTGTGCAAGAGACATAACCTATGAGAAATGCTGAAAACATATGGAAGCAATAATCTGTTCTTTTTTTTTTTTTTTTGGAAGTAGAAACAAATGCTTCAGAATTCGGTGTTATTCGTTCATGTGCTGTGTTACAAATATTATCGTTTCTGCTCTCTGGATGAGGAACTATGCAGTAAACTGGAGACTCAAAGGCACCCAGGGATGTATACAGGAGCCTGCTGGGGTGTACCTCCCATGGGCAGGATCAGATCCCTAGGATTGCAGACAAAGGCTGCAAACACACAGAATTTCTCACTCATTTCAAACACACAGAATTTCTCACTGCTCATGTACAGCAATCCCCAGAGCACTGGGCACTGAACAAACACACCAACAAAACAAAACAAACATCCACTGCCACAAGCAACTCCCTGCCTACAGTCAACAAGGCAGAGAGAGGAGTTACAAAGCGACTTGTGCACCATCACCCAACAACATCAAACATCACAGGGCTTCTGGTCCACCACCTCATTTTGAGTCACTGTCTCATGACATGTCTCTCTTCCTTGTCCATAGGTTTGTGTGATCCCACGGTCAGTCACAACCCTTTGGGCTGATCACCTGGGATCTGCAGGCAGCTCTCTCCTGAGAAGATGAGAAGTTTGTCTTTGCAGATGCTCCCTGATCCAACAAGACCAGATGAGATCAGACTTCAGCAGGACTGACTAGATTATAGCAAGATGCTGAGTTATGGAAATAAATAAACAAATGCTCAAAACAGCTGTATGCAGCAAAATTTGTTAATATGGAACATTACTGAATACTACATCAGGTCACATAAATTTGCCCTGAAAGGCAAGGGCCAGGCACTGTGTGCTGTACAAACACACACCACTGATATTAAGAGCACAACGTGTGACAGCAATGCATGAAGAGAAGCAGATCTCTTCCCTGGCAAAATGTGATTCCAAGGGACAAAGATTGTGTGACGTATGCAAGGAAAAAGATGCTCCAAGAAAAGATATAAGACATCATCTCACACTGAAACTAAAACCCTGGCAAACCAGTCTTTGTCTTCATGTCATGTTTATTACTGCTTTTCAAATGCTTCTGCAAACCAGAAGAATAACTATGGCAACAAAGACTTCTCCAAAGGTTTTCAGACTCTATTTTTAAAATTGTCTTCTCTGTCACAGCATCCAAATTCTTCCCTCAGAAACCAGCCGTATGCCACTGCCTCTGCAGACTTTGCAAACCAGGTGGCACATTCCCCCTTCCTCACACCAAAGCTCAAACACCATCCTGAGACCTGGCTGTCCTGCTTCTATCTTTTCAGTTGGTGGGTTTGGAGAAGGCAGGGAGCAGGGAACAGCAAGGTCTGCTGAACTGAAAGAGTATTTTGGCTTTCTCTAGGAGCAAACAAACCATGGTTCCGTGGGCTAAACACATGCCAATCTCCCAACACGAAGGATCCGCTATTTTAACTGAGGCACTAAGGCTGCAATTTTACTTCACCCAGAGTAAATCTGAAATTAGTTCTTCTCAGTAAGCTTAACAGCAGCAAAAGCGAACCATTTGTCACCTTTAAGGTTTGCATATTCACACTAATTGCACCGGCACTAGGTTATAAATTCCCTTCCCTGCTCCTGGACCACCTCCCTGGAAGGCTTTTCTCTGCAAGACATTATGCAAAAGACACTGCTAATGGCTATTCATTCACCAAACTCCAGTGACAGCTTTATTTAATGCCAAAGCTTGTTAACAAGCTGAATGGCACACAGTTTAATGTAATGCAGATCTGATTAGAAAACAGCAACCGGGCTCCTAAGGAGTTCAATTTTTATTGAATTTGATTTCCCTTTTTCCACACAAAGCCACCTTTATTAATGAGGATTTGGTTACCTACATGCCATTTCCATTTTCTAGACTGGAGCCCACACAGATGAACTCAGTCCTTTGGCACTTTGCTGACAACCCACCACAGCAGAAAGTGATGAGATGAGAGGAAGGAGTCGTTTTTCTGCTCAGCCCATGAGAAATTCAGGGTTTTACTGGTTATAGTTTGATAGCTGTGTCTTCATGGACTTTGCCCCCAAACCTTCTCAGAAAAACCACTTACTTTTTCCTCTTTGGGACTAAATGATTTAAAACTAAAAATTGAATTTCTGCCTCACAGTGAGAGGCAGAGATCTGTGGCATATAGAAGAGAGCTTTGAGGGAGTAAGATGTAGGCTGTAGTTGGGCTCTAGTTTAGCTGAGGTGTTTTCAATTCCTGACTTCCACCACATTAGCATTGAATATACTGACACTGCTACAGGATAGTTCACCCACTACCTTGAATGTGAGATTATTATTTTGGAGCAAAATTATGAAGATTCAAAAACCAACTTCAAAAACCAGGGACGTTATTTAATTATTTAACAATCCCCTTTCATCTTCATTTTGCACATCATCTGCAGTAGAGAGACCAGGCTTATCCTGAGAACAGTTCTGCAGAATATAATTTATTTTCAAGAGGCTTCCCTGTCTGAGGAAGCATGCCTGTGCTTCCAGGAATGATAAATTCAGCGAATGCTCAGAGTCATCTCTGAGAAAAGTGGCTGTTAAGGCAACATAGGAACACAGGAATCTTCATCTCTAACAAAGCAATCTGCTTGCTTGAGGGAGTGCCTGCACAGATCACACCTAAAATCACAGATGAGTTGAAAAAACACAGTCCAGCATAATTGGGTATAGACAATGCCTGTCTCAGCAATGGCTTCAGTGTCTGCAAGTTTATAAATTCTGTCTCCCTACAGCATTATCACCACTCTGCATCTTTGAAGCAAAAACACCCCATTTAAATTTATCAGCAAAACTCTGCTGTCAAAGGATTATAAAAAGCCTTACAAATCTCTACTGGTCAATTGATCTGGATTTATACCCCTAATGTGAGGATCTCCTTGCAAACCCTTGTTTTCTTTCAGTCTCATTCTGCACATTCAGGTGAGCAGCCCCACCAATGAGTGACTGCAACATCTCCTGCACAGAGGGCACAGGCTCCTCAGCACTTCAACCTACAAACGATTTGTCTGCTTACCTATTCCTGGCATTAACAGACCACTGGTTAGTGAAAAATGAACGAATTTCCTCTCTATTGTGTTCTGGCAAATAGACTACTTTATTTGGCTTAATTGTGTAATTACTCTTACATCAAGGCAATTAAATGGGAATGTCTGCAGGAGGGCTCCCAGCTAATGGAGTCCTGGTGTAAGGAAATTTGGTGTAAGGTCTAACCTGCTCAGTGGGATGCAAACCCTGGAGCACAAAGGCTGCAATGCCTCTGGGGGCTGACCCCACCCATAGCCAAAGGGTCCCCATCCGTCTCCTGCCCTGGGGGATATAACCACTTCTTTCCTGAGAGAAAGCTGCTGGAAAAATCCACACTGTTCTAGCAAAAATCCTCTCCCATGGCTGGGGGTCCTCAGCACAGGAGATGGTTATGGGTAGTCCTGGCAGGCTGGAGGCTCCTGCACATGGGGTGTGGCAGGATCTGGCCTAGAGGCACAGTGTGCCAATGCAGAGGGCACAATCTGAAAAGAGCTGCAACATCCCCCTCATATGACACTCCCCAGGCAGCTGTGTGCCCCTTCTGCTGGGCCATTTGGCCTCTGATGGGATCCTGTCAAAATTCACTTAATCCTTCAAAAGCTACTGTACAGTTGTACTCTCTGATGTGATGAAACATGAAGCACAGCACCTCACAAGTCCTTGGAGCAGGGGAGAAATGCTGCTGGTGACCACGGCTTTTCTTCTTATTCTGCATTTGAAAGTTCTCCTTGGCACTTTTAAGTATTACAAAGCAGCTCTGCAGGGACACGAGGAAATCCAGGACAGCCAGAGGACCACGTCGAGCCCCACCTGCTGCTGTGCATCCCTCAGCCTATGGAACCCGTCCCACCACACCCTGCAGCAAACGCCAAAGGGAGCAATGATTTGCAAGGCTAAACATTAAGATACAACTCAACAGGAATATCTCAATCCCCATCCTTGCTCTGAATCCAAGCTTTAATCTGGTGAGACACAGCTCTGAGAAGTAGGGCAGAGGCTGGGAGGAACGCCAAGCACAGCAGATGCTGGAGAAAAGGGTATACCCTGAAAAATAAGGTTAAAAGGTCGCCAAGGGCTCCCTGGCCTACTAAGACTGTGTAGAGCTCCCAGGGCCCATAGCCCAGATTTAACATCACCGAGTCCCAGATCACCCATCAGCAGGAGCTCATTTCGAGGCAGCAGAACATGGAGAGGGGGCTGACCCAAGACAAGGCTAGAGCTTGCTGTGCTTAGCAGGAACCAGCACTGTCAGGTTTGCAAAGAGACACAACAGAAATAACCAAAAATACTATTTTTGCCGGAGTTTCAGGCAGCGGTTTGGTGCAGACCGCAAGAACCCCTTCAGCCCCATTTTTCCCTTCCCACCCCACCCCAGCCAGGTTGTCCCTGACAGCGGAGGGCGGCTCCAGCCCCCGGCATGGCCCGGAGCAGCAGGACGAGCTCCTGAGCGCACCGGGGAGGCTGCGAGGCGGCAATTGCCAAACCAGTTACCCCAGTCCCGCACCTGGATCCTGCTGCGCCCCGCACCGGCCACGGGCATACCCGTGTGCGGGGGTGTCCCCAGAACCCCACCGTGCGTGGGCAGCGCGCTCCGGGCTCACACAAGCCCTCCCGAAACAGCCACACCTGCACCCCGGATGCGCACGGAACTGGGAGGAAAGCCCCGCCAAGGGAGAGCCGCGATGGGACCGGGGAGAAGCGGGGGTCTGGCCGGGCCTTACCTCCACTTGTGCAGGGCGAAGCCGGGGCACTGGTCCCCGCAGGTGTTGCAGGGCTGGCCCCGCTCCGGCTCCCCCGACGCCGTCAGCTGCAAGGAACAGCAGAGTCAGCGCCGGCCGCGGGACGAGGGCGACGGGAACAGGCACCGGGGGATAGGAAAGGGGCACGCCCGGGGAAAGGCACCCGCACGGCTGGGAGAGAGCAGGCAAGGGCCGGAGCGGGGACGCACCCCAAGCAAGCGGCACATGGGGGCGGCGGGGACCGGCCGGGCGCAGCCGGAGCGGGCGGCGGGACAGAGCCACAGGTGGGAGCGGAGTGGGGAACGAGGGGCGAGGGACCCCCCGGCACTCACCGAGCGGCTGGAGAGCCGCTTGCGGGAGCCGCGGCCGAACATGGCAGCGCTCCCGGCGCGGAGCCCGGCGCAGCCCAGCCCGAGTGCGCGGCAGCAGCGGCCGCCCCGTCCGGGCCCGGCCCGCCCCTGGGCCGCGCTCCCGCCCCTCACCCGCCCCTCAGCCGGCAGGCACCGCCCCGGCGGGCACCGGCTCCCCGCCCCGCTGCCGGCGCTCCCCTCAGGGTTAACCGCGTTCCCCCAGCCCTTCCCGGCCCCGGCCGCGCTCCGCCGCCCTCAGGAGCCCCGCGCTCGGCCGGCTCTGCAGTGGGCAGCGCCGTGTCCTCGTTAGGCTCCAGGGCTGGGGGGCCAGAAAGAAGCTGAGCTCCCCCAGGGCAGGGCTGGGGCTCTGCAGGGCACACGCTGAGGTTACCTGCGCTGTGCAGGGGATTTTACAGGGAGCGATCCTCCCGGGTTCCTGCCGGGCGTCTGATCCCCTCCTCAAGGAGGACAGATTTAGCCCGCAAACGCGAGCAGGGCGCAGGAAAAACCTGCTCACGGGAAATATATTTGCTGCCTGAGATGCTGGAGTGGGACACAAAGCACCTGTTACAGCCGCGGAGCTCACGGTGCTCCCGGAGCTACTTGTGGGGCTGTGATCCTGGGATCCGTGGGGCTGGGATTTATGGGACTGGGAGTTCTGATCCTGGAATCCATGGGATCATCAGGGCTGTGATCCTGGGATCCATGGGGCTGGGAGTCTGGGATTCATGGGGCTGGGATTTATGGGACTGGGAGTTCTGATCCTGGAATCCATGGGACCATCAGGGCTGTGAGCCTGTGATCCATGGGGCTAGGAGCTATGATTCTGGGATCCCTGGGGCTAGTAGCCTGGGATTCATGGGGCTGGGAGCTGAGATCCTGGGATCCGTGGGGCTGGGAGCCTGGGATTCATGGGGCTGGGATTTATGGGACTGGGAGTTCTGATCCTGGAATCCATGGGGCCAGCAGGGCTGTGATCCTGGCATCCATGGGGCTGGAAGCTGTGATCCTGGGATCCATGGGGCTGGAAGCTGTTATCCTGAGATTTATGGGCCTATGAACCTGGGATTCATGGGGCTGGGAGCAGGGATCCTGGAATCTGTGGGGCTGGGAGCTGTGATGCTGGGATCTCTGGGGCTGGGAGCTGGGATTCGTGGGGTTTGGAGCCGTGATCCTGGGATCGATCCATGGGGCTGGGAGCCGTAGGGATGCCCATGCATCAGCCCACTCTTGTCACGCGTGCAGTGCACTAAAAGCAATGCCCACCCCGTGCCCCTGGGGTTTGCAGTCACACAGCACATCTGGCACGAGGCAGAGCAAAATGAACGTGGGGAGAGGAGGAGCAGCAAACGCTTCACAGAGCACAGGGCTCCTCGGAAAATCTTCCCCAGTGGGGCTGGAGCGGCTTTGCCATTAGCATTTCACAGCTTCACCCAGGGTTGTGGTTGTTTGCAGATCCTGTCAGCTCCTTCCCCTCCTTCCCTGCCTCTTTGTTCCCTTGCCTTGCTGCCTCACAGCTGGTTAAAATGGTAACCCTTTGATAATTTTTTTTTTTCATTTAATCAGTTCTCATTTTTGTCAATTCTTCTCTTGTATCTTCTTCCCTGGGAGGCTGAAATGAGGCTGGGAGCTGTGTAGCTGAGGTGACCTTTTGAAGAGTCTCAGACAAAAAGTTTCGGGGAGATTTTCACTCTTTCCTGCCATAAATACTGTGCTTCCTTAAAAAAAACAAAAACCAACCCAAAACCAAACAAAACCCCAAAAAACCAACCAAACCCAACCTAAAGAAAAAAAAACCAAAGCCTCCACATGGAGAATTTTATCATGGAGAAAATTTCCTTTTCCATAGGCTTTCTTCATGGCACTGAGAAAATATTGAATGCTCTCTGCTCTGTTTTTCTGTGGTTGCTATTTTTACCTTTCCAAAACCCTCCAAGCTTCCCTCTATTGCTCCCTTCTGCTAAATTTCCTCATAATTTTCCTTCTTGGTTTCTCTCCCAGTTTCCAGCTCACACAGTGGTGCATGAATATATTATAAACTCTCAAGGGAAGGGGCGATGTCTCCAAGTATACATTTCATCAAGCAGTGGGCAACTGGTTGCAGACTGGGGTTTGACCTCATATTAAAATCTCAACCTACAGCCTGTATCCAGTGTCTAATACATGATCAGGGTGCTGAGTTACTGTTAGCTCTGCAGAAGGACAATGGGATTTCAAGGAGTGGGTGCCATGCAAGAGAGGGCCTGAAAATCTCCAGCACTTTGGGTGTCTTGCATAAGGTTCAGAATATTTAAAACTCCAATTAAAACTGCTGAAATAAAAGCAGTACTGGATACAGGACTTATAACAAGATTCAACGTGCTGTGGGAAATGCTTTAAAGGTGACCTGCAAATCCTCTTTAATTGCTCTGCTGTTGCAAGAGATGCTGTGCGCCCTCAATAACAGGGCTGGCGAGGACATCTGCTATGAGTTTAAAACAGCAAATGTAAGTCAAAGTTGGAGGATAAATTCCTTGGAGGTGTGGCTGTACTGAATCACAGCTCCAGTCTTCTGATGAAGATGCAAGTCCTAAATTGCTACTTAAAACAAGGCTGGCTGGTCTCCTCCCAAGCTGTCCATGAAGCTTGTCCTGCATGCTCGTGTCCTCCAGGCTCATGCCAGCAGATACTGCAGGCACAGGGTGTGACACAGGCAAAAGGCAGGGGAGGCTCTGAGCATCAAGGCTTGCATCAGTGTGCTCAGAAGAGGGAAGATGACGGCTCAGCCTGGGAGTGCAGAGGATGCAGATAAGAGGGGTGAGGGGTGCTCACTGCTTCTGCTCTGCTGTGCCTGCAGAGGGATCTGGGGAAATCAGGTCCATGCACAGCCATAAAAATGTTCAGGTTGCACAGACCCCAGTGAAATCAGGTCCTTAGGGACTCCTGGTCACCTAAATACCTCATGGGAACAACAGTTTCTCTCTGGTCTGAGACATCCAGGGTGAATGAAGGGCTATTCAGGAGGACCCCGTCCACTTTTAGGGTCGCTCAGATGCTCCATCTCTGTAAGGAAACAGCCAGGCCAGAACATCATCTCTGGGATGCATTTGGGAAAGGGAGGGGATACATTATCTCATTGGCCTGAATGCTCCTCTTCTCTTTCCTCCCCCAGAAAAGCTGCCAAGAGTAAAGATCTCTCAGGAAATAAACTCCCACTCCCTTGTTCTCACCATGTGCAGAGGGGATGATGCACCATCCTGGCATGGCTGGGTAGGCAGGGGACAGCAACACAGCTCCAGCCCTACCTGTGCTACCATGAGAGCTACTTTCAAAAGGGGATTTTGTATTATTATTTTTATAGACATGGAGCTCTTCCTCCTGAGTGGAGGCAGACTCAGCTTGGAGGTGGGGGGTGTCAGATACTGCTGTCAAATAGGCTCAGAAACAGACACACATGTATAATACATGCTAGACAGTTTGGCTGACAAATTATTGTTTCTGCTGTCACTTAAATTGTTCTATACGTGATCTTCCCCTCCCATTTCTGTTTCAATCAAACCTGCCTAGGGATGACTCTCCTTCCAGCCCTTCTCATGACTAAACCAGTTTAAAACCCAGTTTGCTCCATTCATGCACAGTGAGTTGGACTCATTTCCCTTTTGAAGTTGTGGATGGCCAAGAGGAGGGAAATGACAGGGATGCTCTTTGCTTCCTGCTCCCTGTTGTACCTGATACTACAGAAATAATTATGATGAAAATCAAAGAGCTCAGGGAAAGGTAAAATACAGCTCCTGTGTTAGCTTTTGGTCACAAGGTAGGTGGAATGGGGACTGGCATGGGATAGATCTGTGCAGAAGAGCAGCCTGGGATGCAGGGCAGAGCTGTCATTAGGGCTCTGCTCTCCCGGTGACCTCCATCCCATGTGGGACACCAGCATGTGCAATAGCAGCAGTGATTGTGTCCCAGCCCGGTGGGCAGTCCTTACCAGCTAAGAAGAGGAGCTGCAGGTCCACAGCAGTAGCTGCAACCAGGGGATGGGAAATATTGGGACAACTTGTGCCACCAAAGACCATGGAAAGTCTGCCTCCAGCTCTGGTCCAGCAATTCTGGATGGGACTTAGCTGGCAGACAAAACAGTTTTGTGTGTGAAGCCAGGAAAATTTGCTAGTCTTTCCAGGAAAGTGCCCCTGGCTTTTCTATCCTGCAAACTGTGCCTCATGTCAGGAAATCACCTCCAAAATACTCACATGCAGGAAGCTCTCAGCATCCCTCCATCAGCTCTGACAGCCCTGTGCCTCTTACAGTCCAGCACCAAGGCAGGGGTAGCACCACCAGAAAGCAGTGGAGTAAGGCAGAAAGCAGCTCTCATCTTTATGCTGGACCCATCCATTTCTCCCCTCTGTGATGTCAAGGTGAATTTGGCTGTTACAAACCGAGTCAGTCCCCTCGTGGTTCCTCCTGCCAGCAGCCTGTGCAGGTGAATTACAGCTCAACATGAATCCTGTCTCCATCTAGTACCCTGAAGGTAATAAATGTCTGACTGTTATTAGGAAGTTATTGTCTGAAGCCTTTCAAACAGCAAAAGGAGGGCTTAAAAATACCTCTAAGTGCCACAGCTGCTGAAGGAGTGTGATGGGGACTACACAGCTAATTTGCTGCATCGTTCCTCCACCAAGCCTCCTTCTTCCTGGGTAAATGTGCCCCCATGAGGGTCTTTCAGGAGTTCCCAGTGTTTCCACTCATTCCAGCTCCAAGATCTGAAATTACTGCAGGCAGAAAAGGCTGTGCATAAACCCCAGTTTGAGGTGGGGATATGGAATTTCAATCTGTGCTGTGCATAACAGGAACCCAGGCCGGGATGAATCATGCTGTGTTACTTCGGTTTTAAATTTTTTTTGCACTGCGTAGGATTTTCTGGGGCATATTCCATCAGGCACGTAATGGTCAGATTCACTCTGAACGTTTATTACACGGATACTTTGCAGTACACACACTTCAAATGTCACAAATTGTAACAAAGTGGGCTTAGCAACTTAACAAACCCTTCTGCAAGTTCTGTAGATCATACATTTTCTCAGTGCTCTTTATCACAGCCATTTGACTACTACTTTTTTTGTTAGATTTTTCTGTTCTGAGGTATTTTGATTAAAACAGTACTGAGTAATTGCACCTTTTTTCTTTCATCAATATACTCATTTGTAAATATCCCAGGAATTTTTTTTGTGTCCTCCCACCCAGGAATGCAAAGGGCCATTATGTGCTCCCCAAGGTATCTCCAAATAACCCTTCTCCTTTTAACCTTAGGATTTTATTGTGTTAGTTGCTAGGTAACTGAGTAAGATTTATAGCCATCTATTGTTAATTTTGAAGGCGGTCTTCAATTTCCCTGTAAATAGCATTTGGGAGTTGGAGTCCACACCAATAAAAACTTGGAGCCCAGTCCCACTCTGTGGAGAGGAGCACCTGCTATGAAATGCAGAGCCAAGTGGATACATAAAACCCTCTGAAAAGGGGACCTGCCCTTCTCAGACTGGGCAGGCTGAGGTGCTGGAGGGACCCTGGCCTCTGATGCCAGCATGGCAGAGTCTCACAGGCCCCCTTCCCTCCCTCCTGCTCCTTTCCAGCCCCTCTCCTCATCCTTCAGGCTGTTGCTCTCTGAAATGAAATGCTTCAGCTTTTCCCAGGTGTGCATTTCTCTGCTGTCAAGCTCAGGAACCCCTCAGCACAGCTCCCCCAGCCTCTCTGACAAAGGGGGTGGGAGATGGTCCCCAGTTTGAGGCTAAACAAAGCAATCAGGTGGGACTCTGCCAATTTGCACACAACATCCCAATGCTATAGCAACAAATAACTTTCTACTATCCTCCCTCACTCCCTGGAGCTCTCTTGGGTGCAGCAGAATTATTTGCTTTATGCTGTAAATTCACACTTCTGCCATGCTCCTTTGACTTTTCAGGACCATTTATGAAGATAAGGGAAAACAAACCAATTTAGGGTAACTGGCAGAGAGGCAGGTGTCAGCAGGCACGGCAGGAGGTGAGCTGGCAGGAGTGAAGCCATCCTGCCCTTCCCTTGCCACAGCACTGGAAGTGTCACAGATGTCCCACAGTCCCTCACATTAATCATTCATTTGCCACCCTGCAGGTGGAAAGGTCCTTTGACTCATGTTTTTAAAGCTGTTTTATTGTCTCTTTTGATTGGGAAAAAAATAAAATAGTATTTTACTTACCATTTTACAGGGTTGAAGCCTGCTTATGAACAGCCTAGGCTGCTGGTGGTAGCTCAGATCATGAGAAATTAGGTAGCTGGTCAAAGGAAAAATCAGAAAATTGTCTGTGGCCCTTAGAGGCCAGAAATTGTTTCTTTTCTAGACACCAATATTATCAGGTTTTATATTGGTGCTATTTTTGCCTGCTGGAGCCACCAGTTCTTTAGCCAAGGCAAACAGCCCAGGACACACCAGCTGTCAAAAGCTTCTGGTTCTCCCAAGTTAAATGCTGCCATACATTTGAGTTCTTGAAAGCCCCAAGCCATTGGGAATGATCAGATGGGAAAATGCCAGCAGTGAAATCTGAATGCCAGTCGTACCTGGAAAGCTTCACATGCCACTTGCACAACGTGGAGGAAAGCTGAAGAGGAAGATACACTCAGGTTATCTTGGGCAACAGCCTCTCTGGGGCAGGCAGGCAGCTCCCAGGGTTATTCCAGGTGAGCTCTGCTCCAGCACAAGGCACACCCACTGCATTTTTCCACACAGAGCAGGATGAAGCTGTCGGTGTTGACAAGAGCTGTTGAAATGTCTTCAGGACACCCCACTTCAAGCAATTCAGTCAGCAGAATTTAGAAATATCTCTAAAAAGTGGATCTGAAGGGTATCACCTCTCAGTTTGCCCTACCTGAAAGGAGCAGCAGCTCAGGTGAGAGTCAGCAGAGTGATCTGCTGGGGTTTCCTTAGATCACCTGTGCCACTGACCTGGGGGGACTGTCCCCCTGAGACATGTGGATTTGAGGAGACATGGCACGCTCAGGGATACCCTGGGAGGAGAACAGTAAAGGAGAGACAGACGGCAAAGTGTTTCAGCAGCTGAGCCCCAGCACAGGTAAGAAGAAAGGCCATTGCCTCTGCTCCCACAGACAAGGCTCAGACTCATGTGCTGCTCCTGTGCTGCCAGGAAACAAACCTCCACGGCCACTGCTGCCCTGCATCTCCTTTCAGCAGCTCATTATTTGAAATTCTAGGTCTCAGTTGTTTGCCAGTTCAGCTGTGCTGCGTTTTCTGAAGCAGGGAAAGGCTGCCACCAGTGTGTACCTGCTTGTTCTAAGCTCTGGCAAGGCATCAGCCTCAGTGGGAAGTGCAGAGCTGCATGCTCCCACCACTACACACGTACATCCTGCTCCAAAAGGCTACTCACACCTGGGACCAAGCTGAGAAACTTTATCTGGGAAGTCCAAGCCATGCATGAGGCCACAGCTCCAGCCTCTGGCAGCACCTGGTACCTGCCTGCATCCTCTGCTGCAGGCGGCCCCGCTCCCACCTGCCGGGGGGCACCACCTGTATTTACTGCTGCTTGAATTTGCCAGTAACAGCAACTAACCTGGACACTTCCCTGCTACCAGGAGCAGGGAAAGCATTTCACAGTCAATGCTCCTTTCTGTGTGGGGCTGAGGAAGGCAGGCAGCGAGCTGTGAATAGCTTCAAAGAGGAAGGTCAGCAAGCCAGCGAGGATGGATTAGAAAAGGACAATGCAGAAAAGACCTGATTAATTTAATTGCTCATCTGAAATGTAGTCGCAGACTAAAGAAGGATGAAGAAATTATAAGCATAGGAATGGAGCCAAGTAATGATTTTTAGAGAGAATATCAGAGCCCTGCCTCCCCCTGCACCCTCTGCCCCACATACAAAGGGTTTTGTATTCAGAGATTACTCCAGACTTCTGGCTCTTCTCCTCATGCTGTCTCTTCGGAAATGGAGACACTGACTACCAACACATGTTTAATTAGCTGCAGCTTGATCTTGTTGCTGGCGGCTCAGACTGATCATTAGAGCCAGGCATGTGCCAAAACCTGTGAGGAGATGTAATGTGGAAACCATTCTGCTCCCAGCAGAACTGAGGTTTTCCTGGTGGAAATGGATTGATGGGCATGGCCTCAGCCTCTGCATTTCACATCCTACCTTGAAGGACCTGGATCAGTGTCACAAAGGAGAAATGCATTTCTACCTCCCCTTGCTTAAAACGGTACCTTCATCAGATCTTTTTGTATTTACAGTCAACAGATCACACCTCCAAACACTTCAGAAATAATATTTGTAACTAGAGAGAGGCAGAAGTAATTTTATGGAAAATTTCACAGGTTGTTTTTTTTTGGTTTTTTTTTTGTTTTTTTTCAGTTGGAACAAAAAAACAAAAGAAACCTCCCCAGGAAATATACTATAAAAGACATTTGGTTTAGGTCAAAATACCATGCTTTTTTTTTTTTTTTTTTCCCCCCTGAAATCTGTGCCTTATATTTGCTAATATTAAATAGCTGGAAAATTAAGCCAATTTTGAAGTGGAAACTCAGACTCTTCTGTGAAGGCTGAAAATAACTTCTTAGCATTCTTCATCTTGCTCTTGCAAAGAGAGGTCAGAAACTTGTCAGCTAAATCTGCTTCTGGGAAGCTACAATTCCAATTGCCTGGATCACTTCACAGGCGAAAATACTTGGAAAATGTTGGAGTGAGACTGACAGGCACCACTTTCGGTCATCAGCTTCCTCCTCCTGCTCAGTGCAAGCCGGAGCTGCCTCCAGGAATCTGTTCTGCAGAGGGACTCATCCCCTCCCACAACGTGACCACCCTTACCAAGGGCTGTGACTGCTGGATGAACTGAAGCACTTCTCTGACAACGACCTGGTTGAAAGAGTTCTCCATTTGAAGAGTTCAAGCGATGGGAGAACTTCAGGCACGGGCTGAGCCACTTCAGCTGTTAATGACGCCTGGGTTGGGCTGAATTCCTGCGCCTTTGCCTGGTAATGGGAGCTGTCTCACCTCAGTGCTCTTCCCCTGACAGAATGCTTTCTTCTGAGTCAGCCCTCAATCATCTGTTTGAGGAGTTGTGTTGGAAAGACTCAACAGAACAGGCTTCTCTGCTCTCTTCAATTTTCAAAGCGTGGCTGTGAGGAAAGGAATCAAATGTCCTGATTTAGGACTAATTCCTTGAGACATGCCTTTCCAACAGCCTTCAACAAAATGTGTTTGATTTTCTGTAGAAGAAAAGTGCCCCTCATTGGGGCAGAAGGCCAAAAGTGATCAAGCAATCACCTCTGTCTCTGAAGCTGCACAAAGAGACTGAAGAGTGCTGCAATTGTGATAGAACCCCAGCACTAAGCACACAGAACCTAAGCACTGGAAGTGTTAAAATGACATTTCATTATACAGGGCTGGAAGGTTATGATTCAGGGTCTGTGTATTAATTCCACAGCAGCTCACGTTTAAAGTCTTTGTAATAATTTATTAAGGATAAATGATAGAAAAGACATTTTTATGAGACTGGTAATTTAAAATAAGAATTGAGCTTTTGAAACACTGCATGTTCTGTTTTCTACATTTGACAGTGTTTCAGACAGCACGAGGGAGGAATCCTCTCTCCTTTGAAAAATCTCTCCTTTGAAAAAAAATAGAAGCTGGAAAAGGCTGGACCTGCCAGCACTAAGAGATCTGCAGCATTTTCTGAGACAAACCATGAGGAACATATAAGGGAAGACAGAAACTGCAACTTCACTCTTACCTGCAGTATCTGGGGCAGTGATGATGTAACACTGGTTACACTTCAACACTTGATTGTCATCCTGGGAGCCAGTCCCTACATTTGCTTCCTTTTAAATCATATTTCTCCTGCCTGAATTTTCTTGTATATCTGATACTGATTTTTCCAATTTAGGAAAGTTGATTATTTTTTTGTTCACATTTCTTTCCATAACATTAGAAGTGGTGTGGTCCGGGCCCATTATCCCAGCTCATCCTTCAAGAACACTTGCAAAATGAACTGCTTGTCTCCCTTATATGCCATGTCAAAGGATGTCCCTGGTCATTGAAGGCAGCACCAGCCAGTCACCAGCCACGTGTGAACAATGCATGGGACATCTCTGAGATGTGCTTGTGTAGATTATGCACCTTGGAGCAGAAATTTGGGAGCATCAGCCTCTCCAACCATCAGTACATGAGTGGGTGGTCATGGCCATTCTCCAACGTGGTCCCTGGTCCACAGACTCCAACACAGGTTTGGGGCAGGGCTCCATATAAACAACATTCTTCTCATCCCTCATTCTTTTTGCATGGGACAATCAAACCCAAACCTTGGAAATAAACACCAGCACGGAAAAGAATGTTTACCATTAAATGTATTATTCCCTTGTGTACAAAGTATTTTGCCTCTATTGTAGGACACAGGTATTGAAATATGATGGCAAATGCAGCAAGACCATACAGACATGTCATACAGGTATTCTCATTTCCTTTTGAGTATAAGCAGAAAGAAAGGAAACATTGTACAGGAAAGTGCTTGCAGAAAAATACCCCAGTTTGTAGAAAAATAATGGCATTGATATATAAAACCCAGAGTTCTTTCCTGAACAAGAAATGTCTATTGTCTCTGATCCTCAAAATCTGCTCTATTTAATGATGACAATTACAGAATGTCAGGATTGGTGCTCTGTCATTTTTTTCCCTTATAGTTTATTTTGTATTCTTTTAGGTTCTGCTAGCTGCCTTGAAACTATATGGTAGAAATGAATTTGTCCAGGTCAAAATAGTATTTCTTTTATAAATAGCCATTCACTTCATTTCACTTCACATATAGTGGTAAAGCACCACAATTTCTTTCTGAAGTTCATAGTGCAATTTTCCCTTTTTCCCCTACAGAATTTATACATAAGCAATTATCATTAGAAAAATCACTATTCCATTATTACTCCTTTCCCCTTTCCCTTTTTTCTCTTTCTCTTTCCCTTTTTCCTCTTTCCTTCACCAGTTCTCCAGCTCCAGGCTATACCACAGCCCTGCTCACCTGTGAGGTGTCTCCCAGCTGACAGGAATGTGTCAATCCCTGATTGTCAGGCTGACAGGTTTCACTCCACAGGCTGAACACAGCCTGGCACACACAGGTTATGAATCCAGGGATTGGATCGTTTATCACCATTGATCCAACTGTTTTGTAACACACTGATTACACATCCTTTGGGGAGCTCTGTAAAAGACTCACACAAGATCCCAAGGTTGTGTTTGGTAGCTGCTTGCATCCAAAATGGAAAGAGTTATCTGGAGTAGCAGATAAGCCTCTTTGGTTTTCCAAACTGCTGGTAATTTTGTGCTGAAAAGCTTCCTTTCCTTGTACTTTGTGCTCCTGGCTGCCTCGACATAAAAGGTGAAAGGGCAGCACCTTCCTATCACTAAGTAAAGCTGTGGAGAAAGAGATAAGGGACACAGTCATAGACTACAAACAAAGGAACCTGGTCACATCACCCCCGTTCAGGTGCTAGGAAGCTCTGTGAAAGCGTGGTGTGCCACAGGCAGAGGGCTATGTACAGGCAGGAGCCACCACACCTAAGGGACATGGCTCCTCAGTTGGAGTAAAACAAAGCCAACAGCAAATGTCTGGCTGTACATGGGAATGGGGAGAGGCAAGGAGCACAGATGCCTCACCAGGAAGATCCGAAGCAACACAGGAGTAGGCGTAAAGCAGCTTGCTTTTGAAGGGGGGGCAGAATCATCTGTAGGTACAGAGTGATCTTGCTGAAAGGAGGCAGCAAAGCCTCCCTTTGCAGATGGTCTGGGAGTGAGTAGGAAGCTGGGGAAATGCTGCAAGTGCCTGCAGGGGAGTACTCTGGCCAAGAGAAGGGGTGGCTTGGCTGGGCGTGCTGTCCCCATCCCTGGGTGTGCTGTCCCCACAGTGCTCACCAGCCCCATGGGGAGGGAACACCACAGGGATGCTTTTGTCTTCATGCTAGGATTTTGTAATGAAGTCTGTAAGAAACTACATCTCTTCTGAAAACTCAGCCTAGGGAAACATATGGCCTGATCAGCCTGTCTGGGATGAGTTAATACCCCGCTTCCAGATGGAGTCAGGAAGCACAGTGGCACATGCAATTAGGAAACAAAGATATGTTTTTTAAAAAAAGTGAGTTCATTTCAGAACCCTAAAATAAGGGGGCTTGAACTGAAGATCCATCTGCAGGAATTTTCCTAAACCTCGGGTAGATCTTGATTGATTTGAATTGCCTGACAATTTTTCTGCTTTATCCCCTTCTTCAATGATAAAGGCACTGGATTAACTGAAACTACAGAGCATTAATAAATATCATGTTAGCACCAAACCAGGGCTTTCAGCACTGGCCACAGAGGTCATGTGAAATTCAAAACATACCTAAAAGATAAAGATTGCTAATGCAACTAGCACAGTATTCATTGTCATGTTTTCCTTGAGTGCTGTCAGCCTAATCCCTAAAAATAAAAATTTAAGCACATCTTGCCTAATTTCCTTGCATAAAGACAGATTGAAATGCCAAAAATACCCCTATGCAGATTGTGTAGCACCGTGGAGGGCCAAAGCAGCCCATAACTGA